TAAGATGGCCAGAGAAAAAAGATAATGGCACTTACATTCACAAATTCTTTTGCTTCCTTTGACTACCATGGGGCATAAATTGTGCCCCCTTCATGTTAAATGCTTGCGTCCGTTATGTATATTTAAAAGCAAAAGAAGCAAAAATCCTACCAGAAGAAGAGGAAAAAGAACTAGGACTTGATACATACGTTGACAACATCATCGTCACAGGAAAAAATCCAACTGAAGTAAAAGAAAAACTGGAAAGAGCTCGTAAAGCCCTGGAACTGGGGGGCTTTATCTTAACAAAATTTTGATGCTCAAAGGATACCAAAACTAGTGAAAATTGCGACCCATTCAAAGTATTAGGAACTCTGTATGATCCCAACGACAATACCATATCTGCATCGATTGACGAACTAATGAACTTTGAAAAATTTTCACAACTAAATAGAAGACAAGCAACAGCAATTCTAGCAAAACTGTTTGATCTACTAGGACTAAGCACTCCCTTTCAAACACAATCAAAACTAATCATGAGAGAATACCTAAACAACAATCCAAAAGCCAACTGGAACGCCAGACTAACAAAAGAAGAAAGCGAAATATTTAAAAAAATAGCAGTAGACTCAATAGAGGCTGCAAAAATAAAATTCCCAAGGGCAATAAAACTTGAAAACAAAACAAAAGGAGAACTACACGTCTTCTCCGACGCAAGTGGTTCCGCCATCGCAGTAGCAATTTACTATGTATCATACAACAACGAAGAATGTAAATCAACGCTATTATGGGGAAAATCAAGACTAACCCCACAAACAGACAAGAAAACAAAGGAAAAAAACGAACGAATATCAAAATCAAAAAAGAAAAAACCTACACAACAAAATAAAGAAAAAAACGAAACATTAAGAATAAATAGGGTCAAATTAACAGCAGCATGCTTAGCAATCAAAATGATAGAAAAACTCAAAAAAGCACAAAATCTAGAAAATTGTCCTACGTTCTTCTGGACCGATTCTAAAGTCACATTAGACTGGATATACGCAAACAAACAATCTACACCACTCTTCGTACGAAATCGAGTAGGTGAAATATTAAAAAGCTCAAAAGCTAACCAATGGAATCATGTCCCTGGACATGAAAATCCAGCTGATGTAGCATCATGTGGATGCACAATCAAAGAATTAAAAGAACATACATTGTGGAGACACGGGCCACATTGGCTAACAGATAGAGAAAAGTGGCCAAAAATAAGAGTACAAATAAACCTGACAACCAAACAAGAAGACAACAGCAAAGAATTAGCAATACAAGCAGAAATAAAAACAATAAACACCATATTCACAGGTCTCTTTATGTGGGAAGACATGATTAAATGTATAGCAGCTTGGAAATGGTATATTTTATTCATGCCTATACTGATTGCAGCAGGATTCTTCAAACATAGAACAAAACAGGAAAAAAGAAAGAAAATTGATTTCAGCATCCTACGAGAACCATTTGCCATACTAGAAACAAAAAAAGCAGAAGCTGAAGGCATACGACTGATACAAAAGTGTTACGCAAATAAAGAATGGAGAATGTTAAAATCAGGAAAGAAAATAAACTAGAAACCAGATCTACAATGGGATAAACGTAATAACTACATCATATCCGTAAGTAGACAAGAAATTGACAAAACTACCAAAATACCGGAATTTGACCCTGTCAGACAAACACTTATATATCTACCAGTCCCAAGAAAAACCTCAAAAGCAAAGTTTTTAAAAGCTTTTCTATCAATCCATAAGAACAACGGACATTGTTCTGTAAACAGAATTCTAACCATACTATCCGAAAACTATTGGGCACCTGGATGTCAAAACATCGCTAAACAAGTAAGAAAAGAATGCTTCCATTGTAGACGCTTTGATGGAAAACCATACTCCGTACCAATTGCACCCCTCCCTGACTTCCAATATGAAGGTGCAGTACCATTTCAAAAAGTAGGAATTGACTTTGTCGGCCCACTCGAAACGCTCAATTTTGATAAAAACAATAGAAACATTCATCACGCAAAACAAAAAAGAGTAGAACCTAGAATTAAAGGAAGTAAAGTAATAACGCCAATAGAACCTATGAAAATATCATTATGTGTATTTTCATGTAAACTCACTAGAGCAATACATATCAAACCAGTAAGTGACGTCTCTATGGAATCCTTTATTGGAGCATTTGAAACATTCTGTCATGTAAGACATATCACACCAGAAAAGGTTATATCCGATAATGCCGCAAATTTTCAAAGCGCATGGCCGAAATTTTTAGAAGCACATAAACTACATATAAAGAAACGTTTCAAAAAGGTAAAATGGTATTTAACACAGCACGTGCCCCATGGTGGGGTGGATTTTATGAATGCCAAATGAGAACAATTAAAGACGTACTGGCAAGATCATTTAAAGGAATCCGATTCAGTAACACAAACACACTACTCTCAGCTATAAAATGGGTAGAAAATTCGATTAATTCTCGACCACTAACATACATAGCAGCCAATCGAGAATCACCAATGATCATCACACCTGCAATGTTTTTACACCCACATTTAGCCGATTGGTATGACAATCCATACCATTATGGACCACAACCTCTTCAGTTTTTAGAGAAAGATGAGAAAGGACACCTAACTCAAAAAACGCTATATCGCATGAAAATTGTCGAAAAACTGTGGTGTGCATTTCAAAACTAGTATATCAAATCACTTAGAAAGTTTCCATACAACAATAAAGAATCAACACTAAAACCAAAAGAAGGACACATACCCAGCAAATAATTTGGACGTTTTGAAATGCGTTGCCAGCGGTATGACAAGCCGTTTTAGCATTAACGTTGAGAAAACGTCATCTTGGTCGCCACTTAACGGGTCTGCCCTGGACATTGAGGGCAGACATTGGCTAACGCACTGCCATACCGTTGGCAACGGGGTTGAAAACCGTTGACACAGGGTGCGCGCGGACAATTGCAGGCGCTAAGGGAACGGCGTTGGCAAGGGTCTGGCAAGGCGTTGAGGAACGCCACATGCAAGAAAGATTGCGCGAAGTGCAGGTTGTTAAAAGTATAGGAAATTATTCTGCTGTATGTGCGATCTTGAGGCGACGTTCACTTTATGTTAACATATGGTGTCCAAAATCTGAATCCTCCTGAAGAACTTGTTGTGTCTTCATGACTTACACAGTTCTTCATTAATATTTATTATGTAACAGCATAAATCAATACACAATTTGTTACTCGACGAATGTGAGACAATTGCTCGACGTACGTGCGACAATTGAAAGATGTTTGAGCAACAATCAGTCGACGTTGAGGTGTGTCGCTGGAAACTCGCCAAAAGTTGTGTTAGTTTTTTTAATCTTTATGCAAATATCATGCAAAGTGTTTTCATAGTATGTTTGGTTATGAAATAATATGTAGTGGATCATATTCAGTATTTATATGAATATCGACGAATGTGCGACAATCGCACGACGTACGTGCGACGATTGAAAGATGTTTGAGCGACGATCAGTCAACAATTGAAAGATGTTCGAGCGACGATCAGTCGACATTGAGGTGTGTCGCTGGAAAGTCGCCAAAAGTTGTGTTAGTTTTTTTAATCTTTATGTGAATATCATGCAAATTGTTTTTATAGTATGTTCGGTAATGAATTAATATGTAGTGGATCATATTCAGTATTTATATGAATATTGACAAATGTGCGACAATCGCACGATGTACGTGCGACGATTGAAAGATGTTTGAGCAACGATCAGTCGACAATTGAAAGATGTTTGAGCGACGATCAGTCGACATTGAGGTGTGTCGCTGGAAAGTCGCCAAAAGTTGTGTTAGTTTTTTTAATCTTTATGTAAATATCATGCAAATTGTTTTTATAGTATGTTCGGTAATGAATTAGTATGTAGTGGATCATATTCAGTATTTATATGAATATCGACAAATGTGCAACAATCGGACAACGTACGTGCGACGTTTGAAAGATGTTCGAGCAACAATCAGTCGACAATTGAAAGATGTTTGAGCGACGATCAGTCAACGTTGAGGTGTGTTGCTGGAAACTTGCCAAAAGTTAGTGTTTTCATAGTATGTTCGGTTACGAATTAATATGTAGTGGATCATATTCAGTATTTATATGAATATCGACAAATGTGCGACAATCGCACGACATTTGTTTGTCGTTCGCTCGACATTCGTGCGACGAATGAAAGATGTTCGTGCGACAATCAGTCGACGTTGAGGTGTGTCGCTGGAAACTCGCCAAAAGTTGTGTTAGTTTTTTTAATCTTTATGCAAATATTATGCCAAGTGTTATAGTATGTTCAGTTATGAATTAATATGTAGTGGATCATATTCAGTATTTATATGAATATCGACGAATGTGCGACAATCGCACGACATTCGTTTGTCGTTTGCTTGACGTTTGTGCGACAATTGAAAGATGTTCGTGCGACGATCAGTCGACGTTGAGGTGTGTTGCTGGAAACTCGCCAAAAGTAATGTTAGTTTTTTTAATCTTTCTGCAAATATCATGCAAAGTGTTGTTATAGTATGTTTGGTTACAAATTAATGTAGTGGATCATATTCAGTATTTATATTATGAATATTGTTTACATTCTAACAATGTGCGATGATGAAATGATGTTTGTGCGACTATTGAAAGATGTACGGTCGACAATTGGACGACGTACGTGCGACGATTGAAAGATGGTTTGAGGGATGGATATGCGTACTTTGAGCAATGATGGAAAGATGTTGAGCGCGTATGCGTTGTCCGAGCAATGTTTATGCGACATTGAAGCCCCATGACCCATGAAGACCCATGAATGCAAGATTATGGAAGTTCAAAATTTAATTTATTAACAAGAAAAATTAGCAGCATTAATTTGATACAGCCACGAACATGAAATGGGATGTTTCATATTGATCATTTCGATTGGGTCAGGGAAAAGATCACAAAGAAAAACATTATTAACACTCCATTCGAATCACTCATCATTCCTGGTGATTTCCACTGCCAACTTGTTGAGATCCAGTTGGTCATTCGTGCGTGCATACCACTCCATCAATGTTGGCTCCAGCTCCGAATGCAGAGGGGCAGCATCAAAAACAGCTTTGCATTCTCTCAGGTTAGTTGAGTATTCCTTTGGCCATCCATCAATTTCACCAGCCTTCTCTCGCTTTGAATTCCGCATATTCCGCTCTGCGTGCCTCACGTTCCGAACTGCAGTATTGATAATTACTCTGGAATGAAATATAGTTTAACACATATGTAAACAGCATGTATGGTTTACAATATTACCTTGTTTTAAAAATCTTGTTTTGAACATTACCAGCGGGCACAACTGCAAGCTGCTCCAAGACTGGAAACAATCCAGGCAGCTTGTTTAGAGGCTGTAAATAAAGAATAAAAATGTAATAGCAGTATTGCAACGTTATAATAGAAAAAAACTAGCAAGTATTGTTAACATGAAAGAATTAGTTAATAGGTTTTGTTTCTTTTATTAAAGAAATGCACTAACAATTTTAAGAGAGTACTGCTGCACTCTGTGTTGCAGATTAAGGGGGAAGGCATCAAAATCCAGAGTCGTTGAATCATCTTGTTCTTCTTCCCATTCCTGATTGTCCCGTTCTGCCAAAGTGTTTATTGCATTTGCAGTAGTGCGCTCTGTAACACATGTAAGGAAATGAGTATTAACTCCACAGAGGTCGAAGTGTGAGTTCTTCGCACTTACTTAATTTAGATATTTGTGTTGGAATGTTAACACAATAAATTTGCGTTGTAAGCCTCTGGTACATGAAATGCTTCAAAAAGAACGGCACAGCTTGACTTGATTTGAAGCCCATCCTTCTGTGGCATTCCATCCACAATATCTGTTGCGCATAAAAAGGAAGGAATGATTCATTGCATATACTGCACTATATACACGGGTAAAAGTAGTACATATTCATTTACTCTTTCATAGTTAAACTCACCAAATTCTGTCTGATTTCTTCATCCATTAAAACAGCATCAATGTCCACAAGTTCTTTTCTTGTTTTAACTGGAATCAGTTTCTGTAATTTCGCATGTAGTACAACTATGAAAAAAATTTTCTTAGTTAATACATATATGTGAATATGGAATTAATTTGAAAGTTTATGGATTGAAGGTTTACCTTTTCTTGTTGGACCATGCGCAGTTGCTGACATAATGAGAGGTTGAGGCAAATTGTTGCATTGTGATTGCTGCTTGTGGTTGTTGTCAAGGACTTGCCTCAGGAGGTTGTGCAGAACATCATACTGCGCCGAAAGAGCCTCGAAATTTTTTGTCATCTTGTTCGCAAAAGGTATGAATTCTGTAAAAAAAAAACGTGAAACACAAAGAAGCGTAGATCAATCAAAGAGCATATACATATTTTATGTTAGCACATTTACCTGCTCTGGTGATTAATCCATTGTCATCTGTGGCCCCATTGTTAAGGTCAGGGGTGGCAATTCCATCACAGAAACTGCTGCCTGGCAAAGATTCCAGGTCTTGCACAATGTTGTCGCTGCTGCTGCTTCCTATAAATAGTTATAGAAAGATAACACACTCAGTAAAACGATGCATGGAAGATATTTAACGACGCTAGCAGGATTATGAAAGATGTTTAACATTTATATTGTTTAACAATGCTGAACGATGTTCAAAGACGTAAAACGATGTTTAACGATGTTTAACGATGTTTAACGACGTTCAACGATGTATATTAATGTTAAACGTCGTTAAACATCGTTAATTGTCGTTAAACATCGTTAATCGTCGTTAAACATCGTTAATCGCTGTCATTGTATTTTATGATTGTTATATATAACATGGAATTGTATAACATGTGATGGAATTGTTATATATAAATTACATAAACGTAGTTAAACACACGTAGTTCCTCCAGGATTATGTCATCAGATGATTCCACCAGAGTGTTGTTTGAACTTGGGGTAGTATTGTCAAGGTTGAACGACGAAGAAGGACAACGAATGTACTCCTTTTCCGAAAGAACCACTCTATTAGGTTCCACCTGCACATGACCTGAAAAGTACATGTATATGTACACACATAAAGTAAACTTCACAGTATACTTCACATGAACAAGAATGCAGTGGAGTTAAAAAGGTTAAAATTTATATAGTAATGCACAGTACGTAATTTACCATCACAAATCATACTGCTGGCATGGTTTGCAAGTTTGAAGACATCCAAGCCATAGGATTCCAGGGACCTTACGACAGGCAAAGTGTTATTGTATGAGGTACTTGGGGCAGTTGTAGTCTCAGCAATATTCCGTATAGGCATATCCATGGGATTATGTACTCTCCGTGGTGTTTGTACATCCAATTGAGCTGCATGACATAAAGGAAAGCACTTAAGTAGAAGTATTATAACATGTACGTTATAAGTAGAAGTATTATAACATGTACATTATACATTATGACATTAACAAGACATGAATTTATACATTAAGACATTCAAGAGACATGAAGGCAGCGCATATTTTTCGAAAACATTACTTACAATCACTGTTACTTTTGTAAATTTTCGTAGCTGGAGTAGAAACATCTTCAGAGTCATTGGCAGCCTCGCTAGATGATGTAGAGGCAACATCTATGGGTCTTTGCGGTAGGTGGCGTTTAGGTCGTCCACTGTCTTCATAATTATTCCCAGGGAACACTCCTGGAGAACAGAAACCACGGGTTTCATGTGATTTACTGTTCCTTTGGAGGCGATCTGGATGAAATGCTGTAAGGACACACACACAGTATAAGTAATGTTTACATTACATAACACGTAATGCTGAATTAAGTACCAGTAATTCAAAATGCTCACCTATTCGTCCACTGCACCAAATGTTACCAACCCTATACTCCATCATTTGATTCACATCTCCTATTGGGAATGCACTCAATTTCCGTTCACTATCTCTTTTAATAGATCTCCAAAGTTCATCTTTCCCTGTTACTGGATTGGTTGTTAAGGCATCATTGCAGGGCCAAAGGACATACTTGGCATCTGCACTGATCCAGTTGATTGGAACACAACCTTTATGAATAATGAAGGAATGCTGTAAGTGTATATATACATAAAAATTTTAAGTATGTCTGAAATTTTTACTCACACTTAGTACCAAAAACGTGGTTTCTCAACATTGGCTTATCATTCCACAACGTCAACAGTTTGTGCTTTTCAGTCGCATCACGCAAAAAGTCGTATTTTGACAACTCTTCCCCTCCATCCAGAATTGTAACACATACCAGAGCTGGGATTTGCTCCTCCTCCCCAAGTTCCCGTATGGATGTCCCATCAGCAGTCATACTGAAACCGCAGTACTCCGTTTTTGTAGGGTCCCAATCTTGACATTGAAAGATGTTGTGATTGAATTCCTGAGGAAATAAGAGGAACATAACATATTGAGGAATTAATCATTATTCATGAAGTGTCAGACTATACTTCACAACATATAAACAATAAGAGTACAAACCTTTTTGGACAAGTCTAAAATGCAGGATTTGTCAGATGGTCGAAACAAATGTCCAAAGGAGTCATTGTTGGCATCCACATTTATGTAGTTGATCTTGCACCTTTTTTTCCAATCCTTCTCATTGACAGCTTCTTCAAAAATTTGACGACGGTTTGCATCACGAAGAGTAGATAACCAAGGAAGAAGGATGTTATTCTCATCCCTTGGGTGTGTTGGACGTTGCTGCTTTCGCTCCTCAGACATTAACGCACTTGTCATGATAAATTCACTCTTTATCCGAAGTAAGAGGTAAAAAAGTAGAAATTCTAAAAAAGTGTAAAACAATCTGTGAAGTAAAGAAACACATGGAAGTGTCAAGTCTAGTACAAAAGGAACACAGGCAATTTGTATGCACATTGACAAGGTTATGCTTTGAAAAGTGACAGGTATTTTCATAACAAAGCATCCAATTGTTAAAAGATAAAAATCTTATACATACATATAAGCATATATCACACAAGTAGGCAAACCGGAAAAATTGGAATGTTTACTTCTCTAAATCGTTCTTTCCGCACAACACATTTACAAAAATAAAACACTGATAAACACATTAATACATTGATAAATGAAGGTTACACAATGTAACACAGTAATTTACAGTTTGAAACGATGTTTAACGATGATTAACGATGTTTAACGATGTTTAACGATGTTTAAAAATGTTAAACATCGTTAAACATCGCTATATACGTTGTTTAACGTCGCATCACAATGATAGTTACACAAATGTTAAACTTTTCCTAAAAAATGACGAATTTGATTAAAAAATTGTGCTAAGTACAACAAAGTAATAATGACAAACGTAAAACTCAATAATAACAAAGCTTTACACAATATACAAGGGGGGTGGGCACAAGTGTATATACTTAACTGTGCTTAAAATAAAGTTTTGGCTGGACAAGTGTGCTTCAGCCTTACAAGAACCCACTTCTGCAGTCTATTAGATTCGGATGGTTCACAACTAAAATTCAAGTGAAGGTTGAATGGGAAGAATTTTCCAACAACACCTTCAAAATTCAATGTTTCTTCAATGTCATTCAATGAACTTGCTTCATAACAACCAATCCTGCTAAGCACAGGATATGGTACTCTTTCAGTCCACCACTTCTTCTGAGCAGCATCCACAGTCAAGAATCTCCTGCCTTTCACGTGTATTTCCCGACTTCCCTCAGCATAGTACATGTTGTTGATAACAAATGCTGTGAAGTGCTCCAGGGTGTCTTTCCTTCCAGGTAGGCTGAGTGCCACAATGTTATCAGGATATCTGTAAGTAAAGTCAAGCAAAAGTTTAACATAATCAAATTTGAATTTCACAGATTAGTTATACCTGCAAGTAACTTTGAAGCCAGAACATTCAATGAACTTCAGTTTTCCATTGAAGTTCACACGAACAACAGTATTTTCCGGAAGCAGGAGAGAGCCTACTTCTTGCAAAGCTTGTAATTCCTCATAAAGCTTAGTTTTATACGGTTCTATCTTGTTGTCCAATACATTTCTGGGTATGGAGTGAGCAGCCATTTCACATAGACGGTTAAAACACTGCTTCAAGACTGATTTTCCACTACGGATAAGAGTTTTGTCACGGAAAATACGTAAAAAATTTTCAAAAGGGTAGGCATCAAATCCCCCTAAGTGAGATTTGTATACTTGTACTTCATTTGCAAGATGTATCAACGAATGGCTCTTAGGCTTCATAAAGTGCGGTTGGAACAAGCGGTGGAAGACATTGACATAATGTCTAAATAACAAGTCTGCCACGCGTATGTCCGTAGATGATGGACATTCATGCCTAGTGTGGCCAACCAAGTGCATAGCTACGACTAATGACATGAATCCTTCAACAACTTCATTGCTTTCTTCACTCATGATCACCTCTTCTTCAGTCTTTAATGCGTTTCTTATTTTATCAACAGCAAAAAGTGCAATGGAATGATACACTAAACATTCTTGCGCTTCCCTCATCTTCCACTCATCTATTTTATCCAAACTCCTGACACGTCTATTCATTTCCCTCACAGTTTTGCCAGACCAAGCCTCCAGGTACTCATTGGCAAGCTGTAAAATTTCAGGAGTTATGCTGCCATTCTTTTTACTTTTCTTATGAAAATGAAAAATGAATTTAAAAGCATCCGTAGCAATCCCACCTCCTATGATGTGCATTGCTTCTAAGGGAAATCCATAAACCTGAAATTCAACAAGACAAGGAAATTGATTTAATGATACATGATATGATTGCTGGGCAAGTTAGTAAAACTCACCATGGAAACTATAGGTATACTGTTGAAAGGAGACGCATGACGCCTATGCGGATGTGTTCCACCAGGATCACTATCCAAATATTTGTCCCAGTTTTCATTTCTTCTAAGAGGTGCATTCATATTTGTTAACCTCACATAATTTCCTTCGGACACTCCAGCATCTTCACATCTTTCGCAAGAATTGTATCCACTTGCTGCTGTGCCTGTATAATGAGAGGTAAGGTGTGCCAATTTTTTTTTTAATTAATACATTTTACTAAACATGTACAAAACTGGAAAATGAATAAATACGAAACCTTTTAAAAGGGCTCTTTCTGGAGCATCAGCAATAACGCAACGAACACGGATGCATAGGGGTCTTTGTACACCTCCCACTTCTTTACTTAGGTTAGGATGGAGTGTAGCAGCCTCAGTCAGGAATAACTTGAGGAAGGAGAAAAGGTTTGGCTTCCCACGTCCATGGTATATCCCAACTACCATTGGTTGTGCAAGGCGTAGAGGAACAATGACAGTTGGTAGTACATTTGAAGATGTTCCAATTCCGTAAAGTCTCATTAAAATTGGTTTCCCCTGTAAGCAGTTATAAACGATAGTTGATAACACTTGAAACTTCCTTACTTATTTAGACATTACGCAAAGAGTAATTACCTGTTTCATAGATGAATTCTCAAATAGTTGAACGCCATCTATATGGAAGTCTACCCAGAAACACGTTTCATCAACCATGTCTTTCTTAATGGGGATAGCAATTTTTGAAAGTTCAGCTTGCATTTTTGGGCATAATGCACATACAAATGCATTTGTGAACATGAAACGGTTCAGACCATGAGCAAGACACAATAAGTTAGAGTGTCTATGACGGTCAACAAGACCTGCAAAAGTAAAAAGGTCATGTTTGATAGTGTACTTTTCTGGAACGCAGCATGCACAGAAATTTCAATAAATTATCATTTACCTGGGGACATTCCCAAGAGTGCATCCTTAATCCCTAGGTGAAGGTACCAATTGCCATTTGTTTCTTTCCTGTCAGTGGCAAATTCCGGTATGGGAACAAGTGTAGGCGAGGAGACATCATATATTTTTGGTGGTCCAAACATATCCATTGGTATCTATAATGCATATGACCATAAAGTAATGAAGTACATGTGTACTACATAAAATTTTTCGCAAATGCATCATTAATAATGTCACGTGATCATCGTTTAATCATCGTGCAAACATCGTTTGATATTCACACAATGATCTTCCAATCGTTGCGCAATCATCGTTTGATTATCGCACGATGATCTTCCAATCATCGCGCGATCATCGTTTGATTATCGCATGATGATCTTCCAATCATCGCGCGATCATCTTTTGATTATCGCATGAGGATTTTCCAATCGTTGCGCGATCATTGTTTTAGTGTTCCCCTTTACTGTACTGCTCACATTTAACAAAACTTCAAAGATTACGCATATACATAATGAATAAGTTTGATAAAAGAATGAAGTAAAGTACTCACTTTCATCATAGTGTCAACTGTTTTACAAACAGTCCGGAAATCACACACTGGATGATAATTACTCAGTACCCGCATGAGAGATGCAAATGCAGTCCTGGATATGCACTTATCCAGAAGTAAGTAATTCTTCAAGTAATCGGACAAAGAGTACGATTCTATTGCGTAAGAGAGGTTCTTCTGTGATTGCTTTCCATCATCACCCTCTTGTAATAAACTTCCACTATCTTCTTCAACATGTCCTTCTTGATGTATGTCCTGGTCCTGTTCTGTAATTACACCTGACTCTTCTTCATCAGCCATGTCCATGTCTGGTACATTTTCCACTTCAGTTGCCGTTGTGCATTCCTCACTTCTATGCATTTCAAAATGTAATGCTTTCCTAGCATTTAGGAGGGCATGAACTACACTAAGTTCCTTCACCATGAGGTTCCAAAGCTGTAGGTGCTTTAAAACTCCACAAGGAACATTATCATGTAGAGCGATAGCAACAGAGCGAGGCATGCTACCTGTTTTTAAAATGATCAACACTTTTTTCTGAACAGTTCTTCGCCACCTAGTCATTAACGTTTGACTTAAATTTTCACATCCCCCTTTACGAAATACTTTTATCAAACAATTGTAGTCCAATGGGGATAACAAGCCAAAGTCCACCATCTCTTCTGAAAATTAATAAAACAGAGAGCATGTACACTAGGAACTGCAGTATTCTGTCTTTTTAAACATTCATCGCGCGGACCATCATTCATTCACAGCGAGTTCATCGTTTCATCATTTACCTTCACATTCACTTTTCCTCAACGCGTCGTAATATGTACGCCGACAATCAGACACCTCAATGGTCACTGGTGTACTGATTGCTTCCTGTGATCTGCAATTTATAAAAAAAGATCATATGAGTTTCAGTGCCGTTCTTAGAAAGTACATTGAAATGCATATAGTACTTGAATTTCTGTTGTAAAACATTTGTACAATTACACATTCATTCTATCATGTACACCAATTCAATACAATCATTTTCTACAAACGAATTACATCATCACAACATTTTGTTCTTAAAACAATTCCCAACATGATACTTCATACATCAGAATTGAATGCAAATGCATTCTCTGCTTGTAAAAAAAAAGGCACAAAAAATTTTTGCAACGGAATGCGGGTAACATAAAACAGTCAACCACCAATAAATGCATGGTAAAAACGGAAAAGGCAATCGCAAGCAAAAGAACACATATGTTCCCAGCAGTTAAAAAAGGGAAAAAATCAATCTGAATTACTAACAACATCTTCAACTGCCTTCGTATTGGCAACCTTTTCGAAGCAAGCACGGGCATCAAACAAATTTCCCCATTTATTTGAACGTTTCTTGTACACATCCGTGTGCCACGCGTCAAACTTTGAGAATTCGTCATCCAACAAGCCACAGTTCTCCATGTAGCGTCCAACAACAGTTTTCTTGTGGACTTCAACACTATTCAACACCTGTCAAATCATACCAAAACATGTTTGTAACATTCATTCAAAAAAAAAGTGAATAGTAATTAAAATTTTTACTTTTTGTATACTTGTTATCTTTATTTATTATGCATTTTCTTCAGTTATATTCTTCAGTTTACTAACTGGAATAACTGATTTTAATTAAAACTTGATAGCAGAAGCAGTACAAAAATTATTATGAAGTTTGCCTCACCCATTTCTTGAAGTCAGACAAGACTTGCTTTCCATCAGCATCAAAGCACTTTTCATCCTTTGTTGCAATGTGAATTACTTCTTCCAGAGACATTGATGCGTGTTCTTCATTTGTCTCCAAGAATTGTGCTGCTTCATCCTCCATCAAGCTTTTCATGAGTTTAGGAAAGAAAGCTTGAGCTAAGAATGATAATAGAGTAGTGTGAATTGAACTTTGCATAATAACTTAAGAAATAATTTCTTCTACTCACTATCACGCCGTTTATTGTCCTCATTCTTCAAGGGGAAATGTAGAAACGTAATGTCTTCGCGAAATGAGATGAATTCGTTTGATTCGGATCCACGGTTTGATGCAACCATGGGAGTAGTATTCAGTGCTGCTGAAGAGTCAGCAGGAAAAATGGCCCGCACAAGAGCATTATAAAAGATTCCCCGGCCATCAGGAACCTAAATAGAAACATTAACAAAAGCAGAGATGAATATTAATATATGAAATGATATAAAATTTTGGCATTTATACCTTCCAGTTCTTCTTCTTCCTAGATCCTTGATTTCCATGAACTCTAGACAACATTGTCTGGCAGTATATCCTTATCCTGCTTATCAAGTCCTGAAGGTCATCAATTCGCATGAACAGGCCACAGGTTTTCCCACACATGGCCTCCATCGAACCGAGAAGAACACATTCGACGTTCATTGGTTTATCCTGTAAGTGTATGAAGTATGTTTGGTATAATAATCTAGGTAATAATAAATGTACATCAATTGTTGCTCGATCATCAAGCGACGTTCGTGCGATGAACGGGCGACGTATGAGCGTATGAGCGAAGTTCGCACGATCATCACGCGACGTTCGTGCGATGAACGCGCGACGTATGAGCGTATGAGCGAAGTTCGCGCGATCATCACGCGACGTTCGTGCGATGAACGCGCGACGTATGAGCATATGAGCGATGTTCGCGCGATCATCACGCGACGTTTGTGCGATGAACGCGCGAACAGAGCAACAATCAGCATTTGTCAATCTTTGTTTATGTACATAAGTATGAAATGGAAAAATACATATGTAATACAGCATATCTCACCTGGCCCAAATTAATCTTCACCTTCTTTTCACTGGGAAGTTTATCCAGAGCTAGCCATCCATTCTTCAAAATACGGGGAAACACAACTTGCTCTTCGAGAAGAACACCAGGAACCGGATGTGATGCCAGCTTCCAGGATGGGTATGTGTTTGGTACCGACCTTTTTGCCAACGATCTTGTGAAACCCTCATCGTACAAGAAGTTACAGACAGTGGTGCTCCAGTCATTAGATGGACCTGTATACAGGAAAGAAGTATGATGCGTTTAATGGGATTATGAATGAAGAATTTAAACCCGTAAGGAACATGATCAGAATATGAAATTATAAATACAAACCGTTATAATAAGGTGGCTTATCAGCAGTCAGTTCATACATGCTGCAATTAAGCTCATACACCCACATCATGAAATTTGCGAATTCCACCACTGCTTCATGTGTATTGTCCAATGTGCACAAAGGAGGTTTCCTTAACGGTTTTCCTAAAAAATTAAACATTAATAACATTAATTATAATTTCCTCAATGAATATCTACAATACACACCTTTTTCATCTTTCAGGACAAATTTGAAAATCAATTTACCAATGGCATCCAGTTTTCCAGTTGGAGTACGGAGGTGTCTTTTACTGGGGACCGTTCTCTTAACAGCCTATATAGAAAATAATAAAAGGATGACATTACCTACAATGTTCAAAACATTTCCATGTTCCGCATATATTACCACTTCTTTAACTGGTTTATGCACATGCACAGGAGGAGTTTCATCATGTGGAAGTTTTGAATTTGATCCAACTGCCATTGCTTTTGATGCACTTTGTTTCCCACCAACTGTGTCCTTACCCTGCATAAAAAGTATATATGTAAAATTCTGAAAATATACTATCATAAAAACTAGGTATGTATTACCATTCTGTGAGGTATTGCTTCCACCTTTCCTGCAACCTCCAGTAATTCTGGGTCGAATTTTCGACTTTCTCTTATGAAAGTCAACAAAGACAAAATCGACGCACAACGATTGCATTGTGATCCACCTTGTGGAGACGTCCTCAGCACATCCAAGCTTAGACTCAGTATTCCTGCATCATGCCGTCGTTCATTCCTTATAAAGTCAATTAGACTCAAGTGTTTCAGGCATCTGTTGCACTTTCGAGTATGTACTTCTTGTTCTTCACATGTTTGGTCAGTGCTACAGTCTGGAATGGATGACAAGAGTGAAAATCATACAATGAATGTAGGGAAGTATGTTGTATGACTGTACATGTGTACGACTTGTGTACGTGTTACAGAAAATAATACTTAACAATAATTATACGTACAATATAAATGTAAACCTAAAATATGTACCTTCTTCAGTTTTTTTTCCTGGTCTTCTTGTAATTCTTGTAGTTCGGCGTACAGGCCGTGCGCTTCTTTCGGAATTACTTATTGCACCTTCTTCATCTTCAATTGGAGAATGGCTTCGAGGCACTTTTCTTTTCTTTCCTTCTTCGTTGTGAACTGCAAAGTGATGAAACGTTCATGTAATACTCGTATTGTTAAAACATTAATTACAATCACTTAATCTAGCTGGTGAGGTGCATACCTTCGGAAGTTGAATGGTGTTTCTCCTGAGTACAGGAATCCATTTCATGAAACCCACTCGAACTTGCTATGCCAAGATCTGGAGGAAAAGCTGGCGTATGACAAGTACGCTTCCTTTCCTCTTTTCCTGGGACAAAAAAGAATATTGATAATGTTAAACATGACATAGCAGTAGTGTAATAATATTCAGTACCTTCAGTACTCAGCGCCCGTTTCCTAGGATTACTTGGCGTTCTTGTTGTGGCCAAATGCAAGGACGCTAATTTGACAACTTCTTTGCATACAGGTGCCTCACCATCTCCTGCTGCTTCTTCTTTGCCTTCTTCCACTGTGGATGAATAGGAAATAAACATTGTAAAAAGTGTATTACTTTCAAATTGTAAGAGAAGAACATTAACAGACATAATGTTGAATGAGAACCATTCGATCTTCATGCGATGTACATGCGATGAATATGCATTGTTCATTTAATGTGGAACAGTTGACGATTAACATAAAATGTTAACGGATATGAAATTAATGAAGGTTACGTCAAATAAGAGAAAAAAAGTAGGAATGCATGATTACCTGCAGTTGGTGTTATAACAGCATCTGTCATAGTGCTACCAGAACACTCTTCTTCAAATGGTTCCTCCAATTCACAAGTCGGTGTTGTCGAAGTAGTCAATCCGTATTCTTCGTTGTCTGCACGTCCTATAAGAGGGAATCATTTACATGTAATAATTCCATGTAATAAATAGTAATCTTCTTAATTCAACTTGTTAATTAAACTTGTTAATTCATGTACTTCATTTTTTTAACACTAGTTATATAAATGATCACAATGAAAGAAAAAACATGATAAAGTTATTAATAAATATAAGAAAGTACAAGTACCTCCTTCTGGTGTTTTCCCTTCCTTAGTACAAGTTATCGTAGAACACACTTCTAGTAGTTATATAAATGATCACAATGAAAGAAAAAACATGATAAAGTTATTAATAAATATAAGAAAGTACAAGTACCTCCTTCTGGTGTTTTCCCTTCCTTAGTACAAGTTATCGTAGAACACACTTCTTCAATTTGTACGTCAACTTCAGGACTTGGAGTATTGGGAGCACTCACTCCATGTTCCTCATCTGCAACTGCTTCTCCTAATAACATGGCAAAGAGCACATAATGATAGAATAATGATATCCGTAGTTAATGATTACATGTATCAATAGATTCCTATTCATTACATAAACTTTGTACATGATCATCAAGCCACGTTAACTTTATGATCGCGCGACCGTCATGCGACGTTCGCTCAATGGTCGCGCGACCATCATGCGACGTTTGCTCAATGGTCGCGCAATCATTGAGCGACGTTCAAGCAATGTACGCGCGACCATCACTCGATGGTCACTCTTCCACTTTAGTTAAGAATAATTGTAAAGTTCATTAAAGAAATGCTTGATTACCTCTACTTAGTACGCGTCCATTCCTGGTTAATTCCGCACTCCTACCAGTCACTTTGGGGATGTAGTACGTCTCTTCTGGACCGTCACCAGGACACACTGTAACTTTTTCGTACTCCAGTACATGCAAGCTGCTCAGGTCGTCTTCTGTCTTGATTGGAGTCTCACGTCGAAGTTCCTTCAAACCTGTTGGGAATTATACAGAGGGAAAACGCTAAATACGTCATAATCAATACATTTGATGCAATGCAAAAAATACTAACCATACTTCTCCATTAAACCAAACACTGCCTCTTGCAGGGTGTTTGCCATGTCTAGGAATTGCCCATGCGAAAGGATTCCACATTGCAAAACACCAAGCAATTTTTCGTTAGAGTCGATTTCAGCATCCAAAACGTTAATGTCCGCAGCAGTCAGTTCACCTGATGTCATGAAAGCTGACGTCATCATCGTGTGCTGAAAGCAGGCAACCAGATCAGCAAGGCATTCACTGCTTGTTTCCATAGCAGTCCACTCTTCCAGAGGAATCCTTTCCTCATGCCCGTATGCATCTCCTCCGGTAACCTTGCTTTTTTCTGGTTCACTCATCTTATATTTTAGACTTCCTATGCATTAAGAACTTCACATGAACCTAGAAGTATACAGAAAAATGCATACAACTTTATATTCATTTAATCAATTTAAGTACACTTCAAAAGTAAGCAATAAATACAAAAAACAGAAGAACTTCTTCTTGGGATTAAAAGATGTTTGGAACCGCGAAAAAGAAATACAGAGAAACATAATTCAGGTTGTCCTCTGCTGCTTGTCCACTTGCTGGTCCTCAGGAATACTTGCATTTCTCTCACGTTCCTGCGCAAGACTCACGATTCCAGAATATGTCCACCTTTAAGCATACATATCAGAGGAAATGATACATTATAGCAATACAACGCATACATTCACATGTCTGTCAATACACATTCCAATAAACTCACGGCAATTTATTAAAGTCCAGGATCTTCCTTCCATCTCCATCTTCAACCGCAAGAGATAAGATGAATTTCATCCATCCACCTGTTGGTTCAAACACAACTTTACTAGCTCTTCTCTCGCGCTTCTGAATCTTACAAATTTTCGAGAGGTTCATTTTTTTTTTTAATTTCAGACAGCTCATGAATTCCTGCAAAAAAACAAACATAAGAACATCATTAGAGCAAGGCATGATCTAATCAATTGAATTGCAATTTCCACATGTTTCAATTTTTCTCATAGTACATGTTAAACTTTGTTTGAAAGAACGCATGTAATGAACAACAACTGAGGGACCCATAAACGACGAATAAACGACGATCAAACGATGATGAAACGACGAATAAACGACGATCAAACGATGATGAAACGACGATGAAACGACAAAACAACGAATCAAACAATGATGAAATGACAAATGAATGAAAAATGGACGACGAATGAACAACGAAAACGCGACAAATAAACAGAACGCTTTATAAAGAAGACTGATGTTTTCAAAAAACCGAAGCAAACAATAAAACCAAACAAAATTTACACATTCACTCAGTCTTCAGAACTTCTACATCCTCATCGACTTTTAGACTACCATCTTTCAAATCTGCATTAACATTTACGCGATCCGCAAGATTCTTTTCATCACTCTGTACAGTTGAACACTGCTGTAAAAGGTACTTTGATGGAATCATGAACTTTCCACTTGAGTGCACCGCAGGATCAGCCAACAGTTTTGCAATTTTCCTTTTGGAGACCTTGCTCTTTGTCCTCCGAAGAGCCAACTCCTCCTTCAATAAATCCTTGAGATTGTCACAGACTGAAGATGGAGAGTTCTGACTGAAATATGAAAAGAAGACTGTATTCACTGATTCTTTATCACGTCACGTTATCATTTGTAACAGCATTTATCGCGCGACCAAACATCAAGCGTACATGAACACAACACAGAACCAACGCGCAATACATAATAAATTGTAATAAAAAAATACACATACAATAGACTTAAGACAGACTTACCCAATTCCCATGAGGTCATCCAGTTTTTCCTCAAGGTACTGGATCCGGTCCACTAGGAGTTTGAAGAGCTCCTTCTCACATTCATTGCCATTTGTAGCAAACATCCAATCAGCTTCAGTCTCTGGACTAAATGTAAAAATTGAATATATGCATATGCAACATAACAACGTTTTTCTTAATTCAATCATACATACATGACGGTTTTTTTCAATTCAGACAGTGTTGGGGGATGAACACCAGACATAACACCACAGGCAACAAGATCCGGTCTTTCTTCTTTGTTGAAGCCAGTGATTTCACCAAGCAGCCAAGCTTTGTAGAGGTCTGGACGAAGGCGGCGAACAAATGGTTCCATCGAGAACCTGAGAATACTTGCAGTTCTGAAGCAATAATAAAGAAGGACAACATTAAACATCAGTCAGAAAGTAAAAGATACAAATGTCACTTTATATATGCTCAACGTTCATGCGATGAACGCGCAATCAACGCGCGATGAATGCGCAATGAATGCTCATCTAAGCCCAGCCCCGCGTTGTTCATTACTAGTTTATTAGTTTGATACTTAGATTATGAAGAATTAAGAGAAGAATCCTTTAAAAAACTCACTCGCATGAACATTTGGCTGCCCGAATTCCATAATCAACCCAGAACTTCAATGCATAATTCAATGCAACATTTACATTAAAGCCCAGGTTGAAACCAGCATGATATCCTTTCGGGAACGTCACCACCATTTCCCATGGTTCCTGAACTGCGATGACAGGAACAATTCTGTACCTTCTTAGCCACGCTTCATCAAAGATGAAGTGTTTGTGGCGGGCAGGAAGAGGACACACAGAATCCCCAAGTTTAAGTTTTGAGAGCACCTCAAACTTGGAGACATCCGCTGCTTGAAGTCCAAACCTGAAGTTAAATTAACATTAAACACTGCATGTTGAACAATTCTGAAAACAATGAACTTGCCACATTTTGGGGTATCCACCAAGGTGCATATTGACAGAAATCAAATCCATGTCCTCACAATGGGAGGGAAATGCAGATCCTTTGGACCCTAAGAAATAGTAGGGTGTGTTGATGCCAGGAAACCACTTGTCCTCTTTAAAAGCACCACAGATGAGGCCAATCTCATTGCCAAACAGCTTTGACAAATCAGCCTGGTAACGGTCCTATAAGTAAACATACATTTCCACTGTGTATTTCTAAAATCATAAAGAATATAGGTATACTCACACATACTTCTTTTCCTCCAACCTCCTCATTTACAACACCTGCATCTGATATGCAGTGAAGTTCTGTTACATAAGAGGTCACAGGAGTGCGTTCCCCATAGTCCAGCTTCCGAAGTTGACTCCAGAAAGCTTTCCTTTCCTCCAGACAACAGTGCTTCAGCATGGATGGGGGGATTCCATATCCATCAGCAACACTCCAGGTGGGAGGACAAGGGGTTTCACTTGATACAGAGGAAGGGTGCATCATCCTTTCACTCTGCATCTTTGCAAAAAGTTTCCCAGGACTTATTTCATTACGTTTAGGATTACGAGATTTATTATTAATCCCAAAAACACCCTTATCATCATATTTCTCAATGCACTGGTCATTTACATACTGGATATTTTCTTTACACAACTTGGCCCAAATAGATGTATCACTCTCTGACCATGTCACTTTACCTTGTCCATCTTTATCAAGGAGACTGATTAAATCAGGAGTCAACTTTAATTTAACAATTCCAGACCTCCAACATCCTTTTTCCAAAAAAATTTCAGAAATGTACTCATCAAAAACTTTATACTTAGCAACATCAAGAGGAAAAGTCGGACAAAGCTTGTACGGATAAGCCTGGGAACTTTGCATTTTTCCACCTAGTGAAATAAAATAAAGAATAAATTAATGCAAAACTAAAAATTTTATCATAACATTACCTTTACTTTCTCAAGAATATGACGGTATACCCCACCAGCATCCAGTCAATAACCTGAACAGCACTCTCACAAATTCTGAGGAAATGAAATAAATACATCAGTTATTCAATTTGTTTAAATTAAATATATAGTAACAATATAGTAACACACCCAAAATAAGAATATCAAGAAAATACAAACATCATGGACACATAAACACATGAACACATGAAAACAATCACATACACGCACACACATGCACAAGTACACATTTATAATTCATTAACGAATATAATCTATACAACATCATATTGGAAATACACGCGGACAAGCACGAGCATGTGCATAGAACACACTTCTTCAAGTACACCCACACACAGAAACAAAAAGGAACATACAATACACACGCACACACACACACACACACATACACACACACACACACACACACACTCATTAAATATGAATACCTTCATTACAAACACGTTCATCCGTTAGTTACTTATAAACAAACTCAAAACTGTCACAGGGGAAGGTTTCCCGGCGCGCTTGTATGCCTAGCACATTTATACCCAACTGTCAAAACATCCAGCGCCTGCGCGGCGCCATCTTGATAGGCAGATGTTCAGTTAACAAAGAGCTGGTGTGGAGTGGGACATGCGCGGATTGTGCAAATCACTATATACAAGGAAACGAGTGGAAATACTGATTGATTGAATAAATTACGAAAATAATTGAACATAATAAGAATCTTTCATTTTCTTCGCATATAAAAGCAATTCATTTATATATCTATATATATTACTTATTACTAATGATAAACGGTCAGGTTGGAAAAAATTAAAACATAACATATCATATTATAATACTGTGGGAAGCATAAAGGAGCGAGAAAAATAAAATTTTTTGAAAGACTATCACGGGCATTCAACACATATAGTACTAGTAGGACACATATAGTACACATATAGTACTTGCATCTGACATTTCTTAAAACAACACATGAACACATTACAGCCTGCTTCACACTGTAAGTGTTTCCGGTGTTAAACTGGAATGCGCATATGCATATGCTAAATCATGCACAAGTATTTTCATTATCATTTTGCACAAGCATGCTCAAGTATTCAATATGAATATAATAATTAAATATTAAATTAATGATGACGAGACAATGTATGAAGAAAATGTTTTAAACGACGTTATTACAACGAACATTTGCTCATCAAACGATGTTTAACGACGAACATTTGTGCATCAAACGACGTTAAACGACGAACATTTGCGCATCAAACGACGTTAAACAACGAAAATTTGCTCAGCAAACAACGTTTGCGTATTGATTGAAATTATTGAATAATCAACACAATTTTTCATATTGAATGTCAATTTCGATGTTATAAACATTGGAATTATAACATTCACTCATCAACAAATGCTGAAACAAATTTGGAAATTATAAACGTTGGAATTATAACATTCACTCATAAACAAATACTAAAACAAATTTGGAAATTAGATCATTGGAAGTAGACGTTAAACCATGATCTACTTTCAATATTTAGTTGAACATCGGTTGATGAGCGAATGTTTGTCGTTAAACATTGTTCGATAAGCAAATGTTCATCATTATCTGAAACTGATTTAAGCAACGTTAAACAA